GTTAAGATATATGTTTATGAACTTATTGTTAAAATGTTATGAGTTTCTCAACTTTAGACATGAATTACAGTTATTTATTAACTTATCTAAACTATGTGCACTCATATTTTACATAGTATATGTCATACTTAACACATTTTCCGTTATTTTACAGTATGTGTCAAAAACTTACGTTTTTACGCTTTGATTCTACGGTTTACGATTTTACCCATTTTCCGCTTCTAGGTAGAATCACGCTTTTGACTGCATTGCACATACGTATCCTAACTTGACCCAAATTATCGCATTTTTACACCATTTCACAACCAAACTCGAAACACTGTTGGTGGAATCGTGAGTTGTCATCTTCCATCGTTTGCCATGGCCGCAACCAAAGACTCATACTAGATATGCTCTGTCCAATCCTCAACATCTCTCACCAATTCACAACCTTCTCAAAACACTGTCAATAGAATCCTAAGTTGTCCCCCTCCATAGTTTCCCAATGTTGCAACCAAAAATCTATACTATGGTTTGGTTTCGTTTCGTTACAAAATTTCGATTGTCAGAAAGCCATGCAACTCTCCTTGCTGCTCGAGTGACAGTAGTGAAATCCATTTCGGCTTCCATCTCGGTTTACCCTATGCAAACAGAACTTCTTCCGGTGGCGGTTTGCTAAAATATTGATAAAATCAATCGGGATTTTATCTGGGGGACTCGAACAATAACTAAACACAAAGGTTGTACAATGGAGAGTGGGGTAAAAGAAGGACTTGGAACTTTCCCACTTTCACTTGGAGGAGTGTGAGAGCCACTAATGAATAGTAACTTCAATGTTAGGCTTTTACAAAAAATTTATACCAAATCTACTCAATGTTGGCGAGTTTTGTATCGGGACCGAGTTTCGTCCGCTTTAGTGTTTTTCCTTACACTTTTACGATCCGGTCAAAGCGACTTGAAACTGACTTTATCACAATTGAATCCAAATCCATGGGTATCCAACCTAATTCGATCGAGTCAAAGCGACTTGAAACCGACTTTAGTACTTATAAATTTATCTTTTTATATTGGTTGGGAAGACAATTGAACCCGAATCTAAGGTATTGACGAGTGTTGTATTGTGAGCGAGCTTTATCCGCTTTTGTAGTTGGCAGGTTGTACCAAGTGTTAATTTGATAAAAAAATTTATCAAACGCATTTGAACAAGTTGTTGACCAATATTAGATCGAAAGCGAGTTTTGTATGCTTTAATTTTTTTTTATTTCTCTTTTTTTTTTTGAGAATGACAATTGAACTCTATTCCATTGTTGACGAGTTTCTTAACAAGAGCGAGTTTTATCGGCTTTTGTAATTGACAGGTTGGATAAATTGTGAATTTGTTAAAACAGGATCGACCTGGTCAAAGCGAGTTTAATGCAGTTTTGAGGGTTTGGGGTCGTGAGTGAGTTTTATCCGCTTTAGTATTTTTTTTTATCTTTTTCCGTTTGGTTGAGAATGACAATTGATTCCAAAATCATGAGTATCCTACCTAATTCGACCCGATTAAAACTACTTGAACCCGGTTTTATAGGCTTTCGGCGGGAGCGAGTTTTATCTGTTTTTTTAATTGGCGGGTTATGTCCGGTGTGAATTTCCCCAAAACTATTTTCAAGCAAGCCAAAACGAGTTGAACCTGGTGTAATGACACGAATTCACAACCCATCTCGAAACACTATAGACGAATTCAATGAACAATAGATATCATGGCAGCTACGGAATATCCATATCATATCTATTAAGCACAATCCTTGCCTTCGCCCACTAATTCACAACCCTTCTCCGAAAACTGTTGGTGGAATATTGAGTTGTACCCATCCACCATGTCTCAAGGCCGCTACAGAAAATTCATACTAAATCTGCTATGTGTTGCCGAATTTTGTTTTGGGATCGAGTTTCATATTCTTTAGTGTGTTATTTCTCTTTGTCCTTTTGGTTAAGTATGACAATGGAACACAAACTCAAGTGTGTCCAACCTAATTCGACCAAGTCAAAGCGACTCGAACCCAACATTAGTATTTTAAATTTCTATTTTTTTCCCTTTTGGCTGAGAATGACAATTGAACTCAAAACTATGGTATTGAGGAGTTTTGTATTGAGAGTGAGTTTTATCCACTTTTGTAGGTTGGGCTGAGTGTGCATTTGTTAATAAATCGATTCGACCAGGTCAAAGCGAGCTGAACGAGTTTTGGATCGAGAGTGAGTTTTGTCCTCTTTAATGATTTTTATTTCTCCTTTTCATTTTGGATGAGAATGACAATTGAACCCAGGTGAGTGCTAACAAGTTTTGTATCGAGAGTGCGTTTTATATGCTTTTAGAATTGGCATGTTGAGCTAAGTGAGAATTGTTAAAAACTCGGTTCGAACCAGTCAAGGTGAGTTGAGCTCAGTGTATAAAATTTTTGGGATGAAGCGATTTTTATCGGCTTTAGTGTTTTTTTTTATTTATCCTTTTCTTTTTGGTTGAGCACCCAAACCTATGGGTATCCAGCCTATTTTTTTTTTTTTTTTGGTAATATGTATCCAGCCTATTCAATATGATCAAAATAAATTGAACCCGACTAGCTTTTTACCCGGCCCGTTGGCCGGAGAGATTTATTTTATAATTTATATTAATTAACTTATTCATATGTTTAAATTATTTTCGATCTTCTAAATATTTTTTGTTCTTGATTCACAAAAGAGTTTGTAGTATGTCTATATTGAAAATTCCAATATTTAGCACACTCATTTCTGATGTTTCGGTTTTCTAATCATAAATTATGTCTCTGTCACGTCCCATTTAGAACTTATGTCAAAATTTGTCAACCAAAACACTAATATTTAGCGTACCCCAACCTGAACACCCCCCCCAGATATATATAGTTCAAGCTAGCGTGCACCAGGGTTACGCTATACTCTTGCGTTCACACTACCATACGACCATTGAGTTTTACTATTTAGACTCCGGATTTTTTTGGAGCATGATACTATACCCTAACCTCTAATAGGTGAACTCTAATCCATAATTCTCTAACCTCTAATTTATGCAAATACTTTGTCATACATATCTTCTATCGTATCTTGAGTAAAATCAAAAAATAGTATACCTTGATGTTATATATATGTGTATGAGTGTATATATATATAGTAGACTCAAAATTATCCAGATACTTTGTCAGACCTATCTTGTTTTGCCTCATACTCGTATTAAAAGTGCTACTTGCCTATCCCCCACCCTCGGGATAGAGATCCCGCTTATACCCCATAACGTCAGACAACCATTGGGGTTGTCTATCGTTTCATATGTAATATATAAAGAGGCAAATTCTAAGAACCTGCTATTTATTTCTTATCCTCTCCCGCCACCCTCTTTATGGCGAATAAAAGGGTAGGGATGACAGGATCATAGCTCGATATGGTTTTATTCTGTTCATCGTATCGGAGGTTATGTTCTTTTTTTATTTTTTTGGGCTTCTTTTCATTCTTCTTTGGCACCTATTTGTGATCAGAGGTATTTAGCCCCCGAAAAGGGTTGGGATTTTAGGTCCTTTGGAAATCCAATACACATTCATGATCCTCAAGTTTGGACGAACTCTCGACCAATGTTGTAAAGATTAGGACTTTTTAGTGAGAAATTCTTAGTAAAGATACTTCACTATTGGATCAATTTACTCATCCATATTGAAACTTGACACACACCGTAGCCCTCGTGATGATTAAATTCTATAATCTCAACTCATTTCCATTTTGGATGTTAGTTTTTTTTTTCTATGAAGACACTTAAATTTAGTATATTATACAATATGTATCAATTGTTAATTTTTGAAGTTCAACCCGTGGTCATTGTTTATATATTGGCTTAGAAACTCAATCTAAGACACTCGCACACACTATCGAGGATTTTGGTCTTAACATGGTCGTTGAATGTGTAATTTTCAAAGATTTTATAACTTATATATTAATATTTAATAAAGAGCGTCTACAATACACACATATTTCAAGTGCATTTAAAATGTCTTATCATTTGAACAATATCGGTGGATTTCATTTGATTATTTGCATTAACTTATTATCTATACAACATATATCAATTCGTGTTTCTCGAGTTTGGACGAACTGGCAACCAATTTTGAGAGTTGAGATTACTGGATAAAGATACTTTATTGGTGGATAAATATGTTTATCCCAATTGACTATCTTACTAAAAATTGTCAACCTTTATATGGTAAATGTCTAGGTTAGTAGCTGATGAAACGCGATGTTTATCGTAGATTCTCAACAAAGATTCTCTAACCTTCCTTTATGTTATTTTCAAGGAATCTTGTGTCTCATCCTAGGGTATGAAGTCAAAGTTCGTCAACAATCATACTTAAGTCATTTTGAAAATTTTGATTTATAATCGTTGACGATAACTCCACGTCTGAAAGAAAATTTCTTAGCATACGACTTAGGACCTCAATAGAGCTTGCTCAATCAACATGATATAGAACAAATATTATTAATATGAACTTAGCACACATTATAAAATTATTGCACATGCGATTTCTCTTCATTTGAGGAGTTTAAGGTAGAACATGATCCGAGGAATAAGAAGTCTTTTTTAAGTAAATAACTATAATTACTCAATCAAGATTATACTCTGACGTTTTGCTAAATAATATATACTTGTTTTATTTTATAGCATATAATTTACGAATAAGAGAGTGTTTTATTGCAACAAAATATAAAGTAATATAGTTTATTTTTCATAGGTAATTGAATGTCAAATGTTTATTTTCTCTATTTTCATATAAATTATGTTTAATAAAAAAAATGTTATTGTTTATGTGTATTTTTGTTTAATTTTTTCATCAAAATGTAACTTATCATTCAATTTTAGTAAAAATGAGTAAAAATTTTACTTCATAAGGTTTAATCATATATTTTTTGTTTAAACAAATGTGGCATATGCTAATTTCTGTTTTCTTATTTATATTTTTTTTACTGGACATAAAATTTATTAATTATGTGTGTTTGGTTAAGTTTATCAACATGTAACCTATTATTAAAGCAAAAAAAAAAGATAAAAGAAATGGAAATATTAAAGAAGAGAGAGATAGCTCCATAAATACATTAATAATTAATTATTTTGTTTGTAAAAAAGTTGTCCAACTTGGCAACTTGTGCATCCTCCAAGTGCTTATGTGGCAAGAGATTTATTTTGAATTGCCATAATATATAGTATAGATAGATAGATAGATGTTTACAACTTAAATATAGAAATTATTTGCTCCACACTTTTCTCTTTTATTAAAGTCTATCATTGGATCGACTAAATAGAATTGTAGATGACAAACTCTTTACTTTTGGATCATATTTCAAAGAGAGTCGTTAATCACTCAATCAGTGATACCCAACTCCGCCTCTTCTCTTCCTCTTCCTCATCGAAACCGGCAGCGGCGGGATGCTCTGCTCGTGCCTGAAGAAGTTCTCGGGATCGAACTTGGTCTTGATCTGCACCAATTTGTTGAAGTTCCCCTTGAAGTAACTCGTCCCCCATGCACTGGCTTCAATGAAGCTGGTGTTCCCGCCCTTGTTCATCCCCAGATCCAGGTCCCTGTAGTTCACGTACGAAGCTCTGGGCATCATCGACACGTAGGGAGTCATGTAGTTGTGCAGCTTCCTCATCCAGTCCATGTGTTTCGCCGCGCTGCTCTCTCCGTCCTGCCAATACGTCAGCCACTGGATCATGAACGCGTTCCCCTTCCGGTGGGGGAACGGGATCGCGGATTCTGAAATCCTCGCCATTTGCCCGCCCAATGGGTTCCAGATCGTAAATGGACTGTCCTCTTGGAGGAATCTCTTCCAAATTCCTTCCAGACCCGTCTCTGGAATCGGATCCCTCACGAAATCGGACTTTGCTTTGAAGTAAGTCTTGAACAGAGACTGCCCCTGAAGCAGGACCTCCGGTGCGGTGCCGGTTGGGAATCCGGCCTGGTAAACCACGGACTGGATCCAGCTCGTTTCTAAACAATCCGACTTGGTGAGACCTAATTCGGGGAAACTGGCGCCCATAATTTTGAGGAGTCTCTCGGAATCGCCCAAAAATAGAGCCTGGTACATAGTCGTGACGGTTCGCTCGGTTGTGTTGCCGATCCGCCCAGTGGTGATTATCACTCGGATGAACAGATCGTCGTCGAGCTTGTCGGCGACCTGCTGCCACTTGTACAAAATTTTCGTCGCGCCAGTTTGGAGGGTCTTGGGAACGGTGAAAACCGTGACGGTAGCCGGAACAGCGACCAATTTCAATTTCCAGGCAACGATCACTCCGAAGCTTCCCCCGGCGCCCCCGCGGATCGCCCAGAAGACGTCCTCCCCCATTGCCTTGCGGTCGAGGAGCTTCCCCTTGGCGTCGACGATGAGGGCGTCGACGACATTGTCGGCTCCCAGTCCGTATTTCCGCATCATGCCGCCGTAAGCCCCGCCTGTGATGTGTCCGCCAACGCCGAGGCTGGTGTAGAGCCCGGCGGGGAAGCCGTGAGTGCGGGATTTCTCGGCAATCCGGTAGTAGGCCTCGCCGATGGTGGCGCCGGCCTGGACCCAGGCGGTTTTAGAAGTGATGTCGATGTCGTAGACGGCGCGGAGCTTGGAGAGGTCGAGGATGAGGAAAGAAGACTCTGTCTTGGAGGCGTAAGAGAGGCCCTCGTAGTCGTGGCCGCCGCTGCGGATTCTGAGGTTGATGTTGAGCTTCTTGGAGCAGATGACGGCGGCCTGAATGTGGGAGACTTGGAGTGGTGTGAAGATGAAGACGGGCTTGAGGACGGAAGGGAGGAGGTAGCGGAGGTTTTGAGCGGTGGAATTGAGGACGGTGGAGAAGTTGGAGCTGTCAGGGGTGAAGAAGGTTCGGGAGAAGGGGATGGCGGTGGTTTCGCTGTGATCGGAGAGGCATTGGAGGAAGCTGTGCTGTTGTTGGGCTGGTTTTCGTTTGGGAAATGCGATGGATGGGGTTATGAGGAGGCAGAGGAGAAGTAGGGGAAGGATGGAAGAAGGAAGAAGAGACATTGTTGCTTCTTTTCTTTGCTTCTCCTTTTGGGTTGTGATGAAGGAATGAATGTGGGAGATTGAGGAGTTGGGGGGATTCTACTTATAGAGGAAGGAGGAATGAAGAAGAGGGGAAGGATGAGCCTGTAAATGACCTAATCCTAACGTCAGTAGAGATGGCTGGTTTGATGCAGCGATTGAGTCTACAGTCATTTCTTTTTTTATTTATGGTCAAATTGTACATAATCGAATGTAATTAACTCCATAATTTATCGTGCGCGGTATCACTCGAGCTACGCTCATTCTTTGTTGCAATTTCTGGTTATCGACCAACCTGGACATGGCAAGGGATCCTGGAGGGACGTAACCTTCTCCAAAAGGGACATTGTTGACAAATTGGCTTTGGATCAACGGGTGATGTTTGGCTGCCCACGTCCCCGCCATCTTTCCCTTCTCTCCTCGCTGGTGTGTCCCTTCCTACTTCTTTATGTCAAATTATTTTTTCCATTCCTTTACAATTACTCCTCAAGCAGACAAACTTATATGGCAAATTCTAAATCCCCGGAGTATACGGTTAAGTCCGCTGCTAATTAGGAATAGTAATGGGTGGGTGCGGGGCGGGTATCTCGATACTCATATTCGTCCCGTGGCGGGTCGGGTAATTTATTATGGGGCATGGGTCGAGGCAGGTCGACCCAATAGGTATGTAATTTATTTAAAAAATATTAAAAATATTCGTTATTTTCATTAAAATACCAAGAAAGAAACCATAATATGATAAAATGTTGTTAAATTATTGGAGAAATTGCGATTTTCACTTATTTATAACTTTATTATAGCTAAAATATGAGGTAATAAGAGGCAAATTCTAAGTAATTTGACTAAGATTAGATGTAATTTAGGCAAGAATGGGTCGGATCAGGGCAGGTCGGGTCGATGAGAGGTACCCATACCCAACGGGGCGGGTCCGCCAAACAGGTCGTGTAAAACGGCCAAGTCGAAATTGTCATCCCTAGTGCTAATATACTCCTTTCAATTGTCATTCATTCGCATTACCCTTTTGTCGTCTTTTAATTTTTGGTTGACCCTCCGGACTTCAATCTCAAAGTCGCCTATTCCAAATCAATCATCAATTAATTAAAAGCGCAAGTTTCTTTTAAAATTTTTTACTGTTCCTCACGATAAAATAGCCAAATCGCATTTTTATTGGAAACCACCACAATTCATAGAAAACACTGTTCATCGGCTGATTAGCTGTGGACGGGTGTAGGAAGCTACTCCCTACAACGCTTTTCATTCCGCACCATTGATAGTGTAGACTCCATCTTCCACTCAAAATCCACTCATGGTATACAGACTAAGATGCTAATCCTCGTCGTTATAGGAGAATGGAACCCCAAATTTTAAGAGTTGGACGCAAGGCCGATAAGATCAACGTTTTGCTCAATTTTTGTTTTACAACTTTTTACTGTTCCTTACGATAAAACAACCAAATCGCATTTTTATCAGAAACAACCACACTCTCATAGAAAACACTGTTCATCGGTTGATTAGCTGTGGGCGGGTGTAGGAAGCTACTCCCTACAAAGCTTTTTATTTCGAACCGTTGATGGTGTAGACTCCATCTTCCACTCAAAACCCACTCATGGCATACAGACTAAGATACTAATTAATCCTCGTAGTTCAATAGGATAAGAGAACCCAAAATTTTAAGAGTTGGACACAAGGCCGATAAGATCTACTTTTTAATCGACAACTAGAGGTAAATGAGATTTGGGAGGATAGAGATGGGGATTCAAAACTGAACCAAAAACTAGAGGGACAATGACGGTAGGAGCATAGCGCTTTTTGAAGACTGATGATGGAAATAAATGTCTGGGCTTTTGGGTTAGTACATTAGGTGTTTTGGGTTACTGTTTACACCTAAAATTAATTTGGACTGAATTAAATGCCGCATTAATTAGTCTCGGCATTTAATTCGATACCGCGGGTACAAAATGGTGTCGTTGGGAGTCGAGCAGTGTCGCGGAGAACTAAAACGGTACCGCAAGGAATTTCAGCGGTACCGCGACACAAAAAAACGACACCGTCGGAAATCAAAAAGAGGGCCGTGTGTATAATGGGGTTGAAGGAGGAGTCTTTAATTGTTTAATTATTATTTTTTATTCCTTGTGAGAAGCGGCACCGCGGAGAGTTAAAACGGTACCGCGGATTTAAAAACGGTACCGCGAGAGCCTGGCAAGCGGTACCGATTAATTAAAAATCATATCGGGCCAAAATTCACCCGGCCCAATGCGAGCGCCGACTGCGGCGCCTTTCATGGATTAATATTTTTTTGGCTATATCGGCGGTGTCGTTTAATTCAAAACGGTACCGCGAGTAAGCCCAATGGTACCGCGGATTAGCAAACGACAGTGTTTAAAAAAGAAACAATGTCGCGTAATCGAAAACGACATTGTTTGTCGGCATCGATTAGTGAAAGGTGATGCCGCGGTATTGGTGAAACGACATCGTTACATGGACAAGGGTGTAGGATTTGGCTCAATGTCGTTTCGCCAAGTTTTTGCAAACAGGAGCGGTTTTGATGGCACGTGATTTTTACGCAAAGCAGAAAGAGGAGATCAAGGCAGTTGAGACACGTGGGGTTTCAGGACGGGGCAGTTGAAGAAGCAGTTCTACAGAGCGTGAAGACTACGAAGTTGGTTTTAGATAAAATCAACCCTGCAAGGAGAGAGAAAAGGAAAAACCAAAAATCAACACAGAACAACTCTGTCAAACTTTACCTTTTCTCTGTAACTCCTTCGCGGAGCTCTCCTTCCAGGAAGGATCTCCATAGTTGGTAGAAGTAGTCGTAGTCGCGGAGCTCTCCACAGGAATCTCCATAGGAGTAGCGGTAGTGTAGATTCCTCAAAAACTCAAACACCCTCGTTCGAACGTAGTTTGGAGAGGTGCGAACCGTAGTAACGGTCGCGTTGGTTAGAAGTCAGAGGTGCATCGATCAAATCAACGACGCCGACATTCGGTGGCGGATATTTGACGGTCACGTCGATTTCACCATTCAGAGGTGCATCGATCAAATCAACACCGCCCGGTGGATATTTGACGATCGTCATCGATTTTAGCAAGCAGCGGTGCGTCCGATCAAACGGCACCGCAAGAGTTTCCATCGTGAAACATCAAATCAACATCGTCGGAAACGAATTCGGCACCGGCGGTGGCATTTGGTTTTTCCGAGGAAACATTTTGGCACACCCGGTGGGACACGTGTGTTTGACATGGCTCTGCGACGAGGAAAAGAAGATTGTGGTCTTCGACAAGGATCCGTGGTGGAGGCTCAAATGGTCAATATCGAGATTTACGATGCTGCTGGCGGTTCAAGCAACAACGCTGGAGCAAAGGTGCAATCAATGGCACGAATCTCCGATCAGGGTGAGATGCTGCTCATACTCCGCCAAGTAGTGGCTGAACTCAACAGAGATAGCCAACAGGTAAATATCATTTTAACTTCTCTTGATAAAAAAATGGATAATCTTGAAAAAAATATTGATCAATGGTGTGATAAATTGGATAATTGTGTTTCTGATTTTAATATGTCAATACGTAGAGCCACGTACGATTTTGATGTGTTTAAATCTGAAACAATGTCTGTTGCGTGCGATGATTTAATGGTTGATGGACTAACCATTGTCAACCAAACTCTATCGCCAAATCTGGCTACAATAGTGTTGCGAGAAGCGCACAAATCCAAAGTGTCTCTTCCCGTGAACAACATTGTTCTTAAGGACACGCAAGTTGGAGGTGGCTTGCAGAAACCACCACAAAGAAGCCAGTATCAACGTACTTCTAATAAGAATGAAAATAAGAATCAGGGTGGAGAACCTAGCTACAAGCACGTTGAGCATGGAAAACTCACATATGATGTGTTGTCAATCCAACGTCACGATGATGTTCGATCTAAACCGCTAGGGGGGCATGAGATCCCACTGCAAGGCGGGTTGAAGGAGAAACAATATCACAAGTGGCGAAGCAGTTTGCCACATCCACCCTGTTCTAGGAAATAGCATATGTGGGTTGCCACAAACACTATTCAATATGGAGGTGGTGATCACGTGAAAACCCCCAAGGCCACGAAAGTTGGTGTAACTTACCTAGATCCTTCGTGTAAGTTGTCCCCAAAGCCGCCACCGAGTGAAGTGGGGGGCAAGTTCAAGCAAGCCCGACATGGAGTTGCCACACCAGTGTCGAGGAGGAACAAGCCTAATATGAATGGTGGATTGGGGGGCAAGTATAATACTCTACAAACTCCAAAATCACACGGGAGCTCAAAAGAAACGATGTGGATGTGTGGTAAGTGTCGTGGTAAACAAAACACCCACACACTTGTCGGTGAAGCTCGTAAGCATCGGTGCTTATACTCACAGCAACATGGTGAGAGTGTGAAGCTGACAAAACCAGACCTGTTTGGGCAAGCAATGCCACATGGTCGACTTGACAAGACAAAGATGCCAAAAAAGGTGAATGTCTTGCCGAAAGCAAAGACCACTAGTGATTTCTCATGTTCTCGAACAAAACTGATGGTTGAGGTGAAGCCAAATCGAGATCGCGGGATCCCAAACAAAGATGTTCGAGCTAGACGAGCTAGAAAGTTTCAATCCAGTGTTGACTTCAAAACGTCTAAGCCAACATGTGTAGAACCAACTGGGACAAGTCAGAGTATCCACGGATGGCTTGTTTGGTTTGATCCGTTGCGTTGGCAATGGGTGTGGACCTTTGGCATGATGATTTATGCCAAAGTCAACTATGTTTTTACTTAGCTCGTATTAATGAAAATACAAGGTGGCTAATTTAAGCCACATGATATATTTAAAATAAATAAGAAATCATGAAAATGCCTGGTTAGCCGCGTAGAACGACGGCTGCTACTTGCAACATTGCGGACAAAGAAAAAGAGCAAACAACCCTGAAGTGCTTGCTGCAGCGGCGGCAGCAAGTAAAAAAAAAATAATAATAAAAAATAGACG